ACGCAAACTCGGGGACCTAAACGTGGCGTCGTAGAGCTGCGACTGTGATACACAGATATATTGAATTCATTTGTACGTCTCGGCAGGTGGGTTACTATAATGTTCCGTAGATTTCCTTGATTTTCCTGTTCACGATTGTTAACTGTAACGAACAATAAGATCTTGTCGGTTATTTGGTCGAAGTTCTTCCTCGAAGAATATTCAGAGTTCCTTGCCGCGTTTGGTGTGTAGAGATTTCATTTATGTTGACGATTAGAATAAAATCGGTGAATGATTTTAAAGGAAAAATCGCAACAACCTAAAGCGATGGAAAGATAGAAAATAGAGAATGTTGACAGATCTTTTCATGTTTAAGAAAAACAGTGATCACACAAAAATTGGGTGCTGATTGAACAAAACCATTGTGTTTAATGAAGGAATGAAAATCACGGTTGAATATAACTATTTGATAAAGGATTTCGTTCAACCCAGCTCTGTCGACGTACAACTGTTTCGTCGAAACTACGATTACAGTTTTAGTAATAATTTTCTCTTTGTAGATAGTACAAACAGATACTACCGAGTAACTGAAGTCCAATTGATTGCCCGGCATCGACGAAGTTGCGTGTTGTTGAGCGTTTTATTTTAAAGTGATCATTAATCCCTCATGGTGTGTATAGTGGGCTACGTTCTTAAAACGTTTTGCTCTCTAGTCGGCTCTGGCGTATTGACCTCCGTACATCCAATCAAATATTTATGGCCATCTCGATGATTGCACAGGCAAAGTGAAAAACGGTGCATGCCAGAGGTCCATTAATACAATTGATCAATTCAAGACGATTAAATTATTAAAGTAATGTTATGAAACTAATGACAATGGACAAGAGTTTCCCTTTCATTTTTATAAAATTTTTCATAAGATTAATATATTCGTTATCGTTTATATAGATCGTATGGAATCATGAGGGTTTCAAGTTTCCTTGAAAAATCAGTCTCATAATATGTGATTCGATTAATTTTCCAAGAATTGGCGCAATATAATACACCACTCGAGATTATTAAAAAATCATTTGCTCTATGGCGTTCTATTGCGTAATTTCTTTATTCCTGGTTTGTAAATCAAACCTGTATATAAATTAGTTGTAAAAGTAAATTGAAAAAAGAGTGTTGCATTGAAGATAATGATTTAATTGATAGTACTGTTTTTCAAACGATTCTAGTTACAAATGCTTTAGACAAGATGTATTTACTTGGCATTAGAGACGTCGTATCTGGAAGCAGTTAATTTGTTTTTAATACAAAGTACATACTTACAGCTGCTTCTTTTAAAAGATACAGAAACTGTAGACGATTTCGAAATAAAAATATAATCGTTCAAAATCTCATTTATTTTTGATTACTCGATATAAAATCAATGAATCTTTCTTCTTTAAGAAATCTAATCTCTAACGAATCTAACGTAATCAATATTTGTATTAAACAATTGACGACTTCAGTATAGTTTCTCTAATATTCCATTCAAACACCGTTTCGCTAATCACATTCATTTCAAACGAAGAGCCATTTCAATGTCACGTAAGAACGCGGACGATGTTTCGAGTAAATCAGAATTTGCTTTGACCGCATGCCTATGGAAGATGTAAGCATGCGGGACTACGTTATTCTGATTTACGTAATCTACGAATTCTATAATAGCATGTGTATAACGAGTTCTTGTCCCTCGTCAAAGAGATAGCTAAGGAGAGTAGGTAAGAAAAGAGAAAAAGTTTTCCTAGTTCAAGTCCCGATTCCTACGTAGGGTCACATTCCGTCGTTGAACGCGAGATAATTTTATACTAGAACAAATTTACGACGAGAGTATATTATATGAATACGACTATAAATATATAAATATATTGACCATTTTAATCATATCACGCGAAGAAAGAGAGTGACGCCGATTAAAGAGGTGGAAGTAATTAATATGTGTGTGTGTGTGTGCGTAGGTCGAACAAGGGTTTACAAAAATGTTTTGAAGGAAAACGAGAACGAGGTACCAGAACTGAATAAAATATCGTGTGAACAGTCAGGACGCATACTTCCATATAGGCAAGCGAAGTCCTAAACGTATCTAACGGGATCTGAAAATTCTCTGTTTCTCGTTTAAACGGTGTTCAGGATTCCATTGAGATTAGACCACCGTGGAATTCGGACAAAGAATGGTTAACGCGGATATATACTATTTTCTTCTCTTCTATTAGTTGGAAACGCAGTCTTATCTGTACATTTTATCAGAGATTTTCGAGTACACGTTTTATTGGGAGGAACTCATTTATTCTTAGCCACGTGAGAGCAAAGTTTCGACAATCCGTTCAGATCAGTTAGTCAGGCGTAAGCGTCGTTAGGGGATGACATATTAAAAATATATCTATTTATCGACTCGACGCTTCGAGCCAAAACGCAATCGTTTCTCGACCAATTTACACACTTTCCCGACCAAACCTCGTCTTATCGAGTGTACGTACCTGCTTCGATGCTGCTTCCGCTATGCCCAACCGGTTCCACTATTCAATTATCTGCAATCGGATTAACTTAGCTTATCGATCACGGTGAATCACGAACCAACCGGTTCATGGATCGTTACATGTACGGTATAATGATTTTGGATCAATACACTTTCGAATCGCAGACCCTTACGTAAAATTTGATTGAATTTCAGCCATCCTAAACGGGCAGATACATTGACAAGTGATTCACGACATTTTTATCTGATTGTGACTCTCATGATCTGTATAAACTAGGTTGCTGGAGGTAAATTCACTTGCAATAGTGATAAAATAAAATAAAATAAAATAAAATTGGAGTGTATGCACTTTTGCAAGTCGCTATTAGACAAAAATGTCGCAAGTTTCTAGCTAGTGTATCAGCACTTTAAAGGAAATGAACGTATACGAACATCTCAAACTGATTGCTGTTTATTTTCACGGCCTTGTTCGTTCAAATAAATTATTACTGAACGTTTTTCATGTAACGATATCCTTTCTCGATGCATTCTTATAAATGGTTGTTAAAATTTCGTTCTTACGAATAACTGCAAATTATAATTGTTTGAATTTAAAATGTCGAAATGTAAAAACAATTACTTTGAAACCGTATTTCACATGGCAGTTGAGATGGAGGTTTTTACGTTAGTTCTTTGTTTGTCGTGTTATATTATACTTTTTCCTCTTCAATCACTTGTTTCTTAAAGGCAACATTCTTGAGGTTATATCTGAAGTCGTATGGCAGAACAATGAAACTTATGTATATTCATATATGAATCACATGTTAAATAGCTTTAATTCTTTCAGGACGAATGTTGCTATATCAGTGATGTCAAGTTTTCATATCTAAAAAACTTAAGAGAGTTTAACTGTTCAAACACTAGAAAATCAGTACAAGGTTTCTTTCTATTTTAGTAGGTATTTAAAGATTATGATACGTTTTCGATTTAGTTTAGAACTCACTCTGCTCTTATCTTAAAAAGGAATCAATTTTTGGTGGAATTTTCCTTCTACCATAGTACGATGTTTATCTTGTGAACCATCTCGAACCAAGACGAATCATTTGAAAATCTAATTCATGTTTTTCCATGCGACTACAGATGCAAGAGTTTTGGATGTAATATACCTCATTTATGTTATAAATTGTATCTGAAAACGTAAATCCATATATTTTCTATTTTCTTTCCTATTTCACGATTAACATTTTTTAAAGGCCTAATCTTGTTAAGACACGTATCTTATGGTTTCGAGTTGAATAAATGAATCTCAATAGGCACTTCTATTATACTTCGTCGTTTATTTCTTCCGCCATTGACACGTTAATTGCCACGAAAATTGTCAGCGTTTTATAGAGCACCTACTTGTCCTTTCGTAGCAAAGATGAATGGTATTAGAAATATATAATCATTAATAATTTGACAATCCTTACGTTACAGTTTTACCTAATAATACATTTTTAGCCATACACGCTATTATAATTGTTTTCAAACAATTCGAAAGCGGCGGTCATCGGTGACCACCATGGCAATCAACGTGTCAACACTAGAACTACCGTAACGATCAAAATGATGGGTTCTCCATTTCTATTTTTGCAAGTATTGATATTTTAAAAGCATTAAATATCCGAAATAATTTAAAAAATAAAATAACGTCGGTGCGCTATTAAATTCTCGGTAGTTTTAGTGTTAAAGAAAGAAAATGCTATTCAGTGTGAAAAGACAGGCATGATTCATTCAATCAAATGAACCCCGGCGAATCGAAGAAAGTATTTTGAGATCTTGTAGCTTTCGTTGCGGCAGACAGTGAAGCAAATCAATCAGTCTCCTTCGATCCGAATCATTTACACAGTCTCTTATTCTAATTAGTCTAAGTGCGAATGACTTTTTGTAGCAACAAGTCGGTAATCCGACAATGTTGTCCAAGCATTGATTCCCTCTTAAATATTTATCTAACAGTTTCCTGCCTCTTTAACCCTCTCTCCCTCATGAACTCTCTGTCTTTCTTACCTTAATTAAAATAACGAGATTCGTTCCGATTACGAGCATCAATTATCTTCGTTGACGTTACTGATGCATACCGTCTTGCACACGTTACACGCATGGTTAAGATATTTTTGTAAAGAAACAATGATTTCCCGTCTATGTATCGAGCTGTGTACGATCAGCTTGATCCATGACAAAGATTCTCGCATTTATAATCATGACGATCACCTTTGAGAATTTAGAACAAAAATCTGGACGTTTCGTTGAGAAGATACGAAACAGGAACAGACGTTCTTGAACAGTGATTTTGAGTGTGAATATATGGTACTAATTTGTAACAACAATGAACAGCTACATGACAGGATTTTATACATCTATGTCAATGCTTTTTGCCATTTGGTTAGACTTATTAAGAAATACTCAGACTTCACATTGAATTTAATTATTTCGCATCGATGGATCGATATGTAAAAGTCTAAAACCTGAAAGAAAATTTAATCAAATAATTCACTGTTCAGCAAAAAGCACAACATCAGCAAAAAGAGTTAAATTACAGGTGAAGTGAATTAATGAAAGAACGTCCTGTGCTTTCATTCATCAGTTTATTTGTTACAAGAATATAATTATTAGTCGTTCCGGTGCGTTAAACTATGCTTAATTTTAAATGATAGGAAAGATCTCGAAGTTATAAAATTCTATACGCAAGGAATGGTTCAAACGGAATTTATAAAATTTTTGATCTAATATCCGGAACATCGTGGATGTTTCTAGCTTTGAAACTAGAAACCAGGAGGATCACATGAAATTTTAACCAGTTTGAAAGATCGAAGTACCAATAACAATGCAAAGTAAGAAACAATGAAAGCAACGTGCGAGGGAACGAGGCAGTTACAGCTAAGCGAATGAAAGTTACTACGATAAGAAAGACACAACCGACACAGGTTGTCCAACAATGTATGTAAGTAAGTAGGTACATAGGTTAATTGCCGTAGGACCGATCGAAAACAAATGTGACCTGAAATTGAAGAGAATTGTTACGATTCGTCGTCATTACCACTGCGTTGTGAAAGCAAACTGTTTCGAGTATAACTTTAAGAATTAATATCTCCGCAGTTGAATCGAGTGCAATTGGTCACCGACGTTCCACCACGGGGTAAATCCTTAGCTAACTCTTTCGTCTGTTTGCTCTGCTCACCGTCATATGCGAAGGACGGTAAGCGAGCGATGCACAATGACGAAAGTGAACTTTCAGTCGTCAGTTGGATTCGATTCGACTTTAACCTGAGATAAGTCTATCGTCAAGCAGTTGCGTTAACATTTGTATAAATAATTAACGAAAACGCGGAACAGGCGTCCACGATGAACACTGAAATTTTCTATTACGATAAAGGAAATTACACGATTAATTGGACTAAACGATAGGATAAGCGTGAATCGAAGGAAACACGAACTAACGTGTCACAATATATCACTGTGTTGCCAATGAGGATTAATGTACGCTAATGTTATAAGGATGTTCCGATGCGTATGTGTCAGAGAACAATTGTCGTTGTGTCTTCATAGAAACACGATTACTTTCGTAATGTCGCGAATCCTCGAACCGACATTCCCTTTTCGCAAGTTCCTTTTCGAATTATACACGTATAGCCAATTGAAAAGGATTCTGAAAGCGAACCGTGAACTGCCGAGCTTGCGACAACGAGGCGATACAATTCTTTATTTTAAGAACACCACGATTCGCATTTTAACGAATCGCTTTAACCCTCGGAGTACTGAAACGCCCGTGGACGGGCGAATGCATACTGATCCGCATCGTTTTCTTTGTCACTTGGGAAAGTGATTCTTCATTTACAATGAATATTTTCAGCGGAAAATTGTTTTCTTTTTCTGGAGAATGCGAAGAAACAAAGGAGTGTCACTAATATATAAATAGGTGCAGATAAAGGCCTCCGAGAGTTAATAAATGATCAAAGAGTTGAAACCTTTCGAATAGAATGAAGCATTTCAATGTAATTCTTCGAGATGAAGTGATTTTCAGTTGTACACGTTGTTCAATTAATTGTTTCCTTACTGAATTCAATGATTATGTGTTAACCGATTTCGTTTGTTGAATTGTTATTGAAGCGGCAGTTAAAACATAATTAAATAGTATTATTAGGGTAAATTCATATTCCTTTTCATAACGTATGAAATGAAAATTAAGTAGGGGTTTATTACTTTACTTGGTTTCATGATAATAAAGACACAAAACCTGTATTGGGTTTTATAGAAGTTATTAATCGGTTTTGTTACGATCATTTAATCATGCTCTGTTGAATTGTTACTGTTACTATTTAATTGACCAATTAATGTTTACTCGTGTTTTATAATGACCACTAATCTTCTTAAGATTTCCGTACGTCACATTAGAAAAAGTAGATGAACAAGATCATTGATAGTTAAATACTAATAACAACTAAGGTTCATAATAAAAACGAGCATTGTATAAAGTAAACAAAAGTAAGATCGAATAGTATTTTTCAAATGATTTTTTGCCAAATTTATTACAGTGAACAATTTTATATCTACATTGAAATCTGATTATATGATTAATTAATGATATTCTTATATTACAATATCAGTATAAAATCATTTTTATAAATATTCCATATAAACTAAGTTAAAATAGAGAAAATTGAAACAGTATAATAAATTTTAGTTCAATCAGAAATTCAAGTTTAATTTAAACTGTTTCAATTATGAACCTATTTATCAGTGATTCACACAACAGAATACTTTAGAGCTGTTACATGTGTGTACTACAATGACAGGTTGCACATAAATAACGTGCCACTCTGTTCTTTCGCCAAGTGTAAGTTTCTTTACTCGAAATTGGTATGACCTAAACGAATACCTTTATCTTAATTCTGTTTTTATTATTCAATCATTAATTCTAGTATAATTTATATTAATTCCTCGACGAATTATTGTTGCTAGAAATTTCATTAAGAAGTGTAAGATGTATTCAAATATTTTCAACAAATGCGGTGGGCAAGCTAATGTATCGGATGAGTTCATAAGTTAATGCGTATATTTATTTAACATCACTGTAGGATATTGAAATATTCTGTATTAAGCCGTAATCAAATAACATATTTTCAGGATATTCTTGGAAAGATAAGTATAACAATATTACTTATTTTTTTACAAAGAAAGATTTCTATCACAGAATATACGCACGAACTTACGGACTAATCTGATAATACGTCATAAAAAGCTAGATTTAAGCAGAAGTATTTCTAGACATCAGTCTGTAATTACAACAGTCTTTCGAACTGTAGATTCTTATACGGAAGTCTAAAATTGATTATCCTTTCTCAGTTTCCTTTTAAGACATGTTAATTATAATGAATAGTTGTAGTATACTACAAGATGATATTAATGCATCAACACTTTGATTACTGTCAATTTCATTCAAATATTCGGCTGCATATCAAAATTAAGTCTTTACCATGTTTTCTGTACTAATTTTGTATATTAATAAGTAAGTACAATATCATTTTCTTGGGTTCCATATTGCATTTTATAGTTAAAGAATTGCGTTCCGTGAATTTTCGGAGACCATGTGCGAATATGATCCTCTACTTTTATTAAACTGTGTGTACCGTTTATTTCTAATAATAGCTTAGTAAAAGGAATTACTAATAATTTTTAAAGATATATAACTGACAGATCAAATAACATAGAGATCTTGTACTCAAAGTTGATGGCGACAAATACATACACGATAACGAATTACATAAATGTTTTCCTATGTAAATGATGTGTTTAAAGGTATCATAAAACAATGATATAACTAATCACGAGAACAAATTCTTTCTATATTTCTTCAATTGTAATTCAGACAAAGAAGTAATCATGTGTAATATTTATCAGTGCAGATAAATATCGCGTGAAAAGTAATTACCACGATTCGATGCTTTATTAAAAGCAATTTAATTTTAGTATATTCTCGTCTATTCGTTCTTTGTAAAGACTACTGTAGTAAGTGTAAATAAGTTGGAAAACCATTTTCGTTCTCGACATTTGTTTCCTCCTCGCCAATTTTATATTAATAACCAAAAAACTAATACAAAGTAAATAAACCATTAATACGAAAAGAAGCGAAAAAGAGATCTTTACCATTAACTACTAACACTTACCTGACACTTCTTATTAATGTGAACCGACAACTTATTTACGCTCCCAATAATACTGGTTTCGTTATTGAAGAAAAAGAAACAAACGCTAATTGTCAGAAACTGACAAAAGGAAAGAAAGAATGTCTACTTCAATTATTATTATCCACGTTTATGAACGTGATATAATTAGACTACGGATGTTTATAGATAATTCTATATTCATAAATTAAAACAATAAAATCAACAAAAAATTCATTCCAACAAATACCTACATAGGCTTTATTAATTTGAAAATAAATATTTCACCAAATATTACATTTTTGTTACAACTTATATATTTCGTGGACTTGAATATATTGTAAATAATAAAAAAAATCCGTAGTGTAATTATAATTCAGTACTGTGGAAGAATATTTTCCTTTTCATCGATGAAACACAAAGCATTAACTGTAACAAACATTCCTTTTCTTTTGCAAATGAATGCGAGATCGACGCACGCGACAAACGGATCTCGTTGTTTTCAGTACTGTTTAACTCGTTTTGACACTAAGATTTAAACTAACTCTCGACCACGAAAAAAAACTATGAACGGCCGTACGTAATGTAAAATAATAAGAACAGAAAAACAGAGAGAGAATGTACCTACATCTATTCTATAACGTGACGTATTATTACGCAACGCGTGCATGTAAATTTATTATAAATAAATTATTATAAAGCGGATACACTTTTATTCATGTTTCGACAGTATATTAATAGTGACCAATCAAATCTTGTCCATTTATGAACACCCTTGTAATTCTTCCCATGAAACTTAAGTTTGATAAATGTTCGAAATCTGACATAGAAAAATATGTTGACATAAATGTACCTTTGTATCTACATATGTAAACAAAACTCGTGAATCATATATGAAAAATAATTAAGAGCTATGGCATTAATTCCTTACCGCTTTTAGGATATCTAATTACAGATTCTAGAAAAAGCTACTCGAATACTAAAAGCTTACCTTATTTTTATGTAGCTTTTATTTGTTTCTTGCTAAAACTTACAATTAGACACAAGTTCTATGCAGAGGTGCAAAGAAGGATTATGTTCTGCTTCACAGATAGGAGAATGAAATAATCAAAAGAATGCTTGAATTAGTGGAAAACCACGAGGTTATAATTGATTTGATTTTCTTAACACATTTTCATTGTGAAATGAATGCTATTATTATATGTATACAATAACGACCTTAGAAATTGCATCATTTTAAAGTTATAAATGTTTGTTGTTTAACTTGTATGTGTTCATTAATCGTCTGCTGACAACTAACGGTTCGATCTGCGTTACAGGAAACACATTTTGTTACGTTTATAAATCATCAAATGGTTGAAAATAAATGTATCATTTACTAAATTTCTAAATGCTGTACACTTTCGACAAATCTACATTGCGTGCGCATACAGTGGTACAATTTTACGGACTACAACTGTAGATACGTAGATACACCGTTTTCTTTGAAATACACAGTTTGCGCATAAGGTACGGAAACATAAATTAAAACTATGCCCGCGTCGATTGAAGAAACAATGTAACTCTAAAATCTCAGTAAAACTGAACTCTAAGTTGAAAGAATAAACGCATTCTATCTTAAAAAGTAGAGTCGAGAATTTGCTTCACAATGTATTTCACTTGGTCGAAATGAAAAGAAATTTCTATAATAAACGTACGTTTATAAATTATCAGAATATTTTCGTTCGCTGTTACATGCTATGCAGACGTAATGATAGTAATAATAATATTAATAATAATAGTAATAATAATAGTAATATTGTCGTGAGAAACGTTACAAATGCCTCTCGTTTTGCGAGATGTTGAGGTAAGGAGCGAAGGAACAATCGGTAGTCGTCCGATTTCTCATTAATACTACTCTTTCTTGCTAATAAAGATTATGTCTCTGATTAATTTTTCAATGATTCGCGTTTCAAACAAATAACGTAGCGATTAACAAAACAAAACGTGTAAAAACATTTCGACAGACTTTAAATATCTCTTATACAAATGAAAAACTTCAAATAATAAAAATCGTACAAATCAATGTCAAATTAAACCTAATAGATTCTTCAATTTGCATCAGTTAATTGCAAATAAAATTCATTTAATAGTTCAAACCGTTCACAAATATGTCAATTACATATTAAAGTAACTTTCACGGATACGATATTTGTATTCGCCATTTCTACACAATTTCGTTGAATATGCTTCTTTGTGTATAAATAACTTCAAGTTTGCATCAATAAACATTTTCGGACCATCTGATTAAGGAGAATGCAAGGCGCAGTATCATTATATTATCGATGTCCAAAGTTCAATTGTTGTTTCACGATACATTATCAATTGATTTTAATTATCGAATCGAAAGAGACGAAGTGACTGCGATTACGTGTAGTACGTGGAATGTTTTTATTCTATGCGTATGCACATTTGTGTTATATACATATATTATGCGTATCGTCGTCTACATACGATATATAAATACAGCATTTAAATACATTATCGACAAGATCGTGGGATGACTCCAGCAAAACAATCCAATGCCGTGGATTCATCGACCGTGTAAAATATTAAGAAACGTCCGCCAATGTAAATTATCTTTGGTGAAAACATAATAAAACGCGTTCGTAACAACTATTCGCAAACGGCACCACGAATTTACGAATGCGTCAACAAACGTCGGTGCTTAAAAATAAATTATTCGTTCGTGACACAATGAGAAGAAATGAGAATCAAAAAGAGATAAATTAACAACGTGCTCGGGTGATTATTAACACGTTCTCTGCCATGCGTACATTTTTTAGCGCACGTCGAATACGATCTTTAAGCCAACAGAAATTTTCGTCATTAAATCATTTGTCTTGCCATTCCATTCGGTACTTTTATTCATTTATACTACTGTATGTTCTTTATTTCAAGTATTAAATTTGCGATAAATAATTATCCAAATCGCAAAAAAGAACATGTACCAAACAATTCCAATTACATTCAGCAATCTGAACGTATTACCATTTACGTTGCACATAGCGCGAATCGACATTCAAGTGAAACAAGTCCAAAGAACGTGTTAAATCTTATTGCAGTGAACAGCAAATTTTCTAACCATTTCGTTAAGTAATAAAAGAACCGATAAATCACGCAATAAAATTGTTAGGCATGATTAGATCTCGTGAAGTGACGTCGATACAAATGAGAAATTGCGGGAATCGATGTATAATTCAATGACGATAAAGTAAAAAAATAATTACAAAAATGCGATTAGAATGTAAAATTTAATTAGGGAATCAAGAAACGCTCGTTTCTCATGGGCGTTTGCAAATGTTTATTAAAAATACGGTTCGCGGATAAGTGACCTAACAGGTGCTCTTCACAGGCTTCAACACGTTTTCCGTAAACTGACCAACGATGTTACCCCTCGGATGATAACAGGCAACCACTACGCAACTTCCGTCTCGTTTGGCCATCGCTATGCCCATCTCAGCGGTGTTCTTCCAGACAATTTGCGTGAAGTGACCTGTTCATTCAGAAACAATCTCTGTCATTAATATAACAACACG